TCTTCTTCTTCTCTCTCTCTCTCTCTCTCTCTCTCTCTTTCCCTCTTTCTCTCCGCGCAAGAGGCCGCGAGATAACGCGGCCCTTTAGCTTATTGTATCGCGTGAGACGATGACACGATGACGCGCGACAACACGATATGATACGATACGATATGATACGACACGATACGATACGATACGACACGACACGACACGACACGACACGACACGACACGACACGACACACGCACGAACGACACGATACTCGGCTCGCGACTGAGTTTGACATCGTCGTCGCCAAGGGTGTCTCGCGGAAGAGGAGAGCTCTTCCCCCACCGGGGCTGCTCAGGCGCCACATGGAGCCGCGTTTGGGGTAAGGGGGGGGGGCGGTACCTCCTCTCGATAGAGTATGTATAAAGCCTCGAGAGTGATATAACGTTACGTCAGAGCGCTTGCGCTCGGCGCTTGTGTGTTGCATTTGCTCGCTTGTCTCTCGCTCGCTTGCTCGTTCACGTTGCCGCAAAGTGGCAACCGGTGGTACCGGCCGCAGCGTCGGTGGGTATTTATGTAGACGATGCAACGCGCGTCACGCTAATGGGCCCGGCCGCAAGCCGATACAGCCGCGAGTCTAGTCGAGTCTCCCTGACTGCCGCGTTGATGACGCACCCCAGACGCCACAACTATTTAACCCTTTATTCGGTAATGTCGCTCCCGAGGAACTCGAGTTTCTTCTCCGGCCGCCTGCGCTGCCGCGTTCGAATTTTCGATCTACGTCAACTGTCAAGCTGCGAGTTTCTCAACTGTGGGTTTTCTGCGATCTAAAAATTAACACGTTTCGGATCAATCATTTTTAGTTACGCTCCGCAATCATTATTTCCGCGTGAATTTCGCTGTAACAGAGACTCTTGGTTCGAGATAGATCCGTTGTAAAAAATTGCGAGAAAGATCAATGGATTAAATTCGAGGGATCCGAGATCAAATATGAATGGTGAAAAAAAAGTTATTTTTGCATTCATTAGCGTTGTGTAGTCGGTGTATCATAATACCGAGCGAGTATGGCGTGGCGTATCGTGTTAATAAATCAATGCGCGAGCATCGATTTGCGCTGTCTCCGCCTAGCTGCCAACGGCGTACTCCGCTTCGCGGCGGCTTCGCACTCCGACTCATTTGTTACTGATGAAAGGAATGCGAGTTCGACTTGCGTAAAGATAAAACGACGGCGAAGATAAGAGGGAACGTTTCGCGCTGCCAACACGTGGATAATGCGGGACCGAACGGCTTGGCACACAAAAATGACCGCGCCGTTGACGTCGTCGCGATCATCGTGTGAATAATAAGATCGCACGCGGGACGCATCAACGCTTCGATTATCTACGCAAATAATGAGCGAATTTCTTCGAGAATTGCGGCATCCAATGTAGGCGATTGCCCTTTTTACCCGGCGTTACTAAAGTGGAATATGACAATCCTGCAAATATTATAAATGATGTTCTATTATGTACTTGTAATTATAATAAAATAATTTGATTTCTGTTGGCGCGATTTGAATTTATTGAGGACGAAACTTAATTTGAGATACTCTAAAATTTGCATGTTATTATGATTAAGCTCTTAAGTCAGCTTGGAAGAGATTTGATAATAAATATCATAATAATTGCGCTATTTTTAATAATGTCGGGGTAGCGTCAAAATCAATGTATCATCGTTGAAAAATAGCACAGAAAATAGTAACAATTAAAACATTTACGTCAGTGAGATCTCATTGGAAAGAATTAATAATAAAATAATTGTTCGAATTAGTGATGTTAAATGCATACTTAAATAGCACGCTTAAACAGTAAAAAAGTATATTTGATTATAAATTTAATTATTTACGAAAATTTTATTCCGTAGATATAAAAAGATTTCCTAAAAAATATTAATCTAAAATATAAAAAACTTCAAAAACCACAATTTCCGAATATAACTGTCATCGATTTTACATTTTTAATCAAAATCACTGTGACATAAAATGAACAAGTAAAATGTTTACATTGAAGACAAGTAAAATATTGATTGAATCTAAGAAAAATTTCACCTTGTTTTATTTTTGTCAGTGAAATTTTTACCGATTCAATTTAAGAGTATGCATTTTCCTTTCGCATCCCCCCATTCTTCTTGCGTCGTTCTTGCGTAGGTGACAATAGATAATCGAGCGAAAGGAAACCCTTGAGCGAAGTGAAACCCTTGACCGTATATGAATTCCGTGAGTTCCGCAAAAAGGCAATTGCAATTTCAAGATCGTCGTGACGGTCCGGAGCGTCGGGATAAAAATTGCGGGCGAGAAACATTATCGCTGGGAAAACTCGCGTCCCGTTTCCCTTCGTTTCCCGAGTGCGTCGATGTCTCTCACGCAATCGTCGATCACGTCAATAACCATCCCTACGTCGCGTCCGCTATGTTCTCTCGATTACGCCGTTATCGTAGTTGCATTTCGCCGTTGCAGTCGCGATATTACGTCGGCTTCTCCGCCGTCGTTATCGGTCTTCCACTCAATAACACACAGCCCGAACTAAAATCGCACGTGCACGCGGCATTACACAGTGCCGAGTCCCGCGAAGTGTTAAAAAGCTTATCTGTTGCGCGATGGCTGTTACGCACCTAACGATCATCGCGGTGAAAAAAAAATCGCACCGGTGTCGCAATGTCGATGTCGATGAACGACGGGGGAGGGGGGGGGAGGGACGGATCGATGCGCGGAAATACGACACGCCGGATACTCTATGGACACTTTGTTATACTTTCTCATCTCGATTAGACATTATTGTTTCGTGATCGATCTCTTCTCTCTTCCTGTACGCGTTGATCATTACCTTTTATATAGATTTAAACACGTATTGAAAAACACGTATTGAAAAACCTCAGAAGTGGGGGGAAATATAAAAACGGACTAAAAATTCACTCTTCAATTTTTCATCAAAATTATGTGAATTTTGCGCGATTTCATTTTGTATTTTATTATACATCGTTATCAGGTAAAAGTACATAAACTGTAATAAAGGAATTTGACAAGCTTCTCTAATTAAATTTTAAATTAAATTTTTAAATAATCAGTAATATAGTAGTTAAAATAAATATTGAAGTTGATAAAATAATTACGTTTCAAAATGAATTTCAATCGATTAAATTTTAAAAAATTCTAAAAGATGTATTTAAATCCGCGCGATACAAGATATGAGAATATTTTCAACTTTATTATTAAAAAGTTTGAGAAACGGAGGGTATATTATATTAAATTAGAGACGATCGATATCTTTCTTCATTATTTGCGTAACTTGCGCGCGCGCACCGGAAGTATATCGTCAATGCTCGACGCAACTTTTTTACAAGACATTGCAAAATTCCAGACTTCTTTTCGAGCGTGGTGATGCAATAAAGGTGACTCTCTTCGGCTTGACGGTCGTGTGAAGTACCTACAAAGCGTGTACATAAGTTGCCGCGTTATTGCAACAGGTGCACTCAATTTGTGACCCTTCGCGACCTGCTTTTATGCGATATAGCTTCTATGTGATATTCACCACATTAAGAATACTGAGATAAAACCTTACGTGAATTTTTACAAAATCTCAAAGAATCGATTTGCGGCTTTTCCTCTCTCTCTCTCTCTCTCTCTCTCTCTCTCTCTCTCTCTCTCTCTCTCTCTCTCTCTCTCTCT